CTATTTTTATCTTTTTATGATTGTTGTACATACTTGGTTGAAATGGAACCAACATCCAGTTAACTTTGCTGTGGTAAACTTCGTACTAAGCGATTTTACTGCAGCCATTTCAAAATCACTCATTACAAAATTAATGTTTTGTTTAAGTTGTGGTACCAGCTGTATAATTTTATCCCACAAAATATCATACATAGTAGCCGTACGCACATCACACAAAATGAATAATGTTGCAATGCCCTGGAAACATTAGATTATTACTGAGTTTCACAATTTTAATTAACAAATTTTCCAAAATTTCAATTAAATAAATATCTTACCGTATCCATGTATCGTGTATGTACAGAGTAAAGTTGCATAATATGAGGTTTGCGCGGGAGAACCTTAAGAGAGACATATACAATAATTTTTTTCATAATCTAATTCAAAATTATATTAAGTGTTACGATATGTTAGCCATTATAAATATTGTTACAATTTCTTTGCCACTGTACTATTATTATACTATTGTACTTGCTACTATACTATTGTCATTTTTTGTCAAAATGTCATACAGAGGAAACGGTTATGGTACTTACAGAAAATGTTCCATCTACATAGAGTTCTGTAGCAGATGATAAAGCTTCTAGTAAATAATTGCTAGATAAAATTATTGCAGTTTTTCCATCATTTGTAGTTACGCTTCCTTTATACACATTTTTTATTATATCACAGTTTTCCAAAATATCACGTAATGCTGCTAATGTATCAGGTACAGGAGGTCGACTTTTTATTCGTTCACGTTGCATGCTACATCTTATAGCAGGAAAACTTAAATATTGTGCTGTATCTGGATTACTAGAAAGAAAAAGTACATATTTTAAATATAAAAAATTATAAACAGAAATTCTGTTGAAAAACATACAAACTATGCAATCTCATTTATTGCTATAACATTTGAATGAGTTTTTTAGTAGAAAAAAGATTTGTCTTAAATTCGTATTAGATTGCTTTTATAGAATTAAAAAAAATGTTTATGTCTTTTACTCGAAACAAAAGTAAACAGTTACGATATTAGTTATTTCAGAGAAAGAGAGAAAAAGGTAGAAAAACATGTTGCAGGTATAAATAAAAGCTTTTTAGAATTATCAAGAATTTATAGAATCCATTACGTTAATTGACATAAAAATTATCACATAATATTAATATAGTTGTTTATATGAAATATATAAATAAAAAGTCACATGTTCCACAACATTTTGTTATAATAAAATTATTATTGAACATTATAACTTTTTTACTATTCATATATTTTTAAACTTAATAATTGTAACCATTTATTGTCGCGTTTAAAAATTCCTATTAAGAATAAACTTCGAGCACAAATAGACTTGTAGCATAAATTATATTGCCTTAGAATTAATAACCCGGGAAAAAATTTTCACATATGATCATATATAATCATATATGCTCATATACGAAAAATGTCCATATATAAGATACCATGTGTATCATGTATGATCGTATATGATAATGTGTTTGTCATATATACTGTCATATATGACAAACATGTGCATCATATATGATCGTATATGATAATGTATTTGTCATATATACTGTCATATATGACAAAAACGTTATCATATACGATCATATATGATACACATGATATCTTATATATGGACATTTTTCGTATATGAGCATATAGATTATATATGATCATATGTGAAAATTTTTTCCCGGGAAGCATAATTTTAATGTATTTTATGTAAAATATTTGAAAGATAGATATAAATATTTATAAATTATTCAGTTTGATTAGTGGAACCAATCACAAAGTACGTTTTTATATTCTTATTATATAAGGAACATTTTAAGACTGGAAATTAAGCAAAATAATTATTATATAAAATAATTTTACCTTCTACAAACTGAATCAAATATTTGTTTTAATCCAATATGAGTATCGCGAGAAAGTCTTAGCATTTCTTCTTTCATTTCAATTTGAGCTTTGACAAAATTGGACTTTGGATGATTATGTTCTTGTAAAACATGTATACTATTGTTATCAAGAAGCATAACTGAACCTCGACATCTCGTTGTCTGACGTGTTTTGCATCGAAAGACATTATCATAGCGACTGTCTCTATGATATACATAATCATCATATATATATATATTTGAATCCTTCTTTCCTCCAGGCATAACTTCCATCTGTTAAGGAAGGATATATAACGAGAAAATAGGCTGAGTAGATATATTATACATATAGCAAATTATATGGGTAAAACAGGTTTTGTAAACTAAAAATATATGGCAATCCTACATAAATTTCAGTTAATTTAATCTTCTAATTACATTGAATAAATAAATTTTATAAGAGAAAATATAGTAAGCTTCTTGTGGCGCCATTAAACGAATAGAACAGTATAACAAATAGACAGATAAAACAATCCTTTAAATACATTGAATTATGATAATTCCCACCAAATATAGCAGTCGGTACAGAAATACGACACAAACATGATAATTACAACAAAAGTATTATCACGACGAGAACTCAACGACATGGA